GCGTTCGTGTTAGCCTACATGTCCGCCTGCGTATATATGCTGCGCAATGCAACAGTACCAGACTATTTGTTACCTCATTTCCACGGCGATGATTTGAACAACTTTGAAGATGTCCCCGAGTAGCAGCTCTAGGGTAAGGGTTAGGTGATTTCTCGGTTTGTACGTGCGCTACTCAGGCAGGCTACCCTCTAATGGTGCTGATGAAACTTAGGACATGGAATCAATATGCGCATGAAGTACAGTTAGGGGTTAGCGCCATCCGTACGTCGAAGATGCTGATGGGGGAAAAGTGCCTGGGCTAGATACGCACGAAGACAAGTTTGACGATGCTGTACGAGTGTACGGTTCCTGTCCATCCATCACGCACCGCTTCCCCCATGTTTCTGTCGTACCTGACCATGGATGTTCGGAACTACGCAGACGGACCGAGAGCTGTTGGAAAAAGGAGCGGAACAGTGCCACTTCACCTCCGCCATTCTTCGCGGTATCAATCACGAAGATGGGCGTGAGGCAGGCACTCCCTATCTTACGGATGGAGACGGCAACTGCTTGTTGAACGCCGTGGCCATGCTGCTCGTGAAGAAGCAACCACGTGGGGTCAGGAACGCCGTGAAGACGATGGCAGCTCAGCTCCGGCTGGGGATTGTCGTGGAAGGCTTGCGCAACATCGAGGTGTACCTCGATCGCCAGTATGAGTTCTACGGCACGTGGTACAACTATGTGGATTAGGTGGTGTTCGACCTGAAGTGGTGTGGCTGGGTGGTGGACGCAATGCCGGAGAACCGTTGGCGAATGGCGTCGCGTGACTGCGCACGGCTGGTGTTCTTAGGATGTCTGCACCACATCNAAGAGCTGCTGGAAAAAGGAGCGGAACAGTGCCACTTCACCTCCGCCATTCTTCGCGGTATCAATCACGAAGATGGGCGTGAGGCAGGCACTCCCTATCTTACGGATGGAGACGGCAACTGCTTGTTGAACGCCGTGGCCATGCTGCTCGTGAAGAAGCAACCACGTGGGGTCAGGAACGCCGTGAAGACGATGGCAGCTCAGCTCCGGCTGGGGATTGTCGTGGAAGGCTTGCGCAACATCGAGGTGTACCTCGATCGCCAGTATGAGTTCTACGGCACGTGGTACAACTATGTGGATCAGGTGGTGTTCGACCTGAAGAGGTGTGGCTGGGTGGTGGACGCAATGCCGGAGAACCGTTGGCGAATGGCGTCGCGTGACTGCGCACGGCTGGTGTTCTTAGGATGTCTGCACCACATCGCTCGGGATAAAGTATTCCTCCAGCAGTTCGTGCTTCCTATGCTGGCCACCGTCATCCGGGGACCTTTCCGCGTATTTGTGCCATGTGAGGCTCTCAATTCTTTAGGAATGCTCACGGCGTATTTCGTTCTGTCGGCATTGGCGTTTTTATTTTGAATTCGGTTAATTTTTAATACCGTCATTCCCGTTCCACGTTTCAGTTCCATGAGCAAAACCATCTGCGCGTGTTCGATTGGTGTTTCACGTTCGTCGCTAGTTTTCATCACTAGCTTTGCACGAGGGTCGCCCGATAATGGCGGCAAACCTGCCGGCATGAGGGCGCACGCGAAAATTTCGCGAAGCTACGTGTGATTTCTTGTTGACGGCTTGTTGGAATTCCTCGCGTGTCGGTTGCATGCCATAATTCGCGGTCACCGGCGTCCAGAACGTCAACGGTGGAGAGTGGCAGTGGACCCTGTTCCAACCGCTGGTCGCACCGGACCCGGGACGTCAGACCGTTCATGTTGTTATGACGTATGTTTCGAGCGCGGACTACAGACCCCAGTTCAGCGACGCCC